AGAAAAAGAAAAGATCTACAAAATGATATGTCAAAGTTTCTTTTCCATTTTGTTAACCTACTAGGAATACCTACGCAAGATTTGTTTTTTGCTACCTACTTCCTTGTTTTTCTATTAATTAACTGATAATAGTATATTATATACCTAGGTAGAGAAGTTGGTCATTATATACCGAAAGCTTTTATAAACCGAGGCGCGCAGCGCCGAGGTTTATAATGCTTGAGGTATATAATGACTTTCTCTACCGAGGAATATATAGAATTTTTTTTACTACTGCTAGTAGAAAATAAAAAAAATTGTTTAAAATCTGTGTGTTAATTATTTTTTGTGACCGCCCTCTTGAAAGTGCTGCCCTCTATCAACAGCTTATATAACTTCCTATGTACCTACAGAAACCTGTATTTTTTTTCAAATTGACGTATGAAATTGAAATTGAACCAATAGAAACATGACGATATCCTTGCGTCATGACGTCATTTTCATTATTGACCTAGGTATTTTTTCATTATTTTCATTATTAACCTAGGGAGAGAAATTCAATTTTTTCTTAGAAAAATAGATTGAATAATGTCTATTTCTCAGGTTAGTAGTAAAAAAAATTATAAGTCGGGAGCTTACTTCTGTTACAACAGTCCCGAGGTCGGGATTCGAATAATGTTTGGAAAGTCCCAAGTCCCGAACGCCGTTATCAAGCCACGCCTCTTCGGGATTTTGCTTTTTTCAAGCGATCCCGCGTTCGGGACTCTAGACAGTTCCTTGTTTATATATGTTTTCACTAGCTGTGTAGTAGTTTACCGAAAAAATAGTTTTTATGTCATACCAATAGGTACATTATTGTGTTTTTACACCTTAGATACCAGCTACACAATTCATTACTTTATGCCCGTGCGGGCATAAAGTACACATTATGGCCCGCGCGGGCATAAAGACGCAAAAAACAGTTTTCAATTAACTTATTCTTTATTACCAAAATAAAAATTTACGCTTATAAACATATTATTTTTATCAAAAAATGATGATGTTTGCACACTGATGACAATTTGCGAAGTGACACTTTTTTCCCAGGTATTTATTATTCACAACCAACTGGGATGACATAAAAGTTTGTATGCACCACGGGTACTAATAGATATATATACCCTCGGGCGACTTACGAACCCTCGGGCCAGAGGCCCTCGGCTTTGTAAGACTGTCGCCCTCAGGGCATAATCATCTACTTAGTACCCTTGATACATAAATAACTATTATAGCCTTGTTTTGTAGTCTCTGTAACTTTTATAATAAAAATTCGCATTTCCATAACACACTATCAAGTATTTCAAGCGGGGTTCTATAAAACTGTTGTATAATAATAAATTTTTAGTCTTATGCCGGTTTTCCACCAAACGGACTGTTGAGTTTGTGTTTTGAAACATGTTTTAAAACAAAAACAGAACTGAAGATTCGAGTCTGTGTTTGAGTTACATATTTACCGCTTCCGGACCGAACCCGAAAAACAAAACTCCAACTGTCGCAAAACACGCTAGTCTTGAAAATGTTTGGGAAAAGTTAGAGTTTTGTCTGAGTTTAAGTTGTGTTTTTGTTTCGTCGGTTTGGTGGAAAACCGGCATTATGGGTTAACATGTGGTTGCACCTTTTAATTGCAGGACTGGTGCTATTTTGTTTATCACATTTGCAATGTGTACAGTCCATGAAAGATTTTCATTTATTATTAATCCCAAATATTTGTACTCTTTAACTCTTTTCAATACTTTATTATTCAATTGTATCTGTGGATTTATTTGTTTTTTGTTACTTTGACTCAATCACATGAATAGGTACCTACCTACTGTTTTTTCGATATTTATGCTAAGTTTATTATAGCACAACCAGCTAAAATATTTTGCCAGATCACCGTTCACTATTCCCTGAAGCTCTTCTTTACTTAACATAAACACTGTGTCATCACAAAACTTAGCATATTTTGCTGTAAGGCCAGCCTACTTTAAGTTATGTAGTATGTAGGTACATATAAGAGATGTTCTAATGGACCAATAAGTACAGAACCTAGAGCAATGACGACACTAACATTTGCTTCTTCACTTACTGTTCCATTAACTTGGGTGCACTGTTTTCTTCCATAAGAGTAAGTTCTTAACAAATCGTGACATTTGCCTCGTAATCCCATTTTTTGTAATTTTTTCAACATTATTACTTTTGATAAAAGTAAAATGAAGACAGGGTCTCCATCTATTACTTTTATCAAACCCAGTTCCGGGATGGAACCAAAAATGGGTTGTGTTTTCTCTCTGCGGGACCTAAACCGTGCTGATGAGCTGTAATACAGCGAAACGCGTCCACGGATGGTCTTGCAGAGATAAAACACTTCTCAATCGGTCCTTAATTGGGCCGTTACCTAATTAATTATTACTTTTTCCAGAATTTTACTAAAAGAACTCAACAATGTAATTGGACGGTAGTTGTTGACATCATTGTGGGCACCTTTTTTGTAAACCGGTATTATTTTTCCTGTCTTAAGCTCCTCAGGGTATTCACCAGTATCTAGTACAGTATCCGCCAAAATAAACTGTATCGAACATACAAATTATATCATTTATTAATTTGTATCATGCGTATATGTTCAAAAAATGCATCATAGCGAAACTTCATAACGATTCTGCAAATCATTGAAAATATTTATTAAGAGTGGTTGCTGAAATTTTTCTGAGACTTGTTTGAGTTGAAAGATACATAATGACGAAGATTTTAACCTTAACCTAATGTCAACCTCATACCTCATAACTAATGCCAAGTAAGCGAAATATGATATATGCAACTCGCGTGTGCAATTACTCAGAGCTCTAGATTTCGGTACCTACTGTTTATTTTGGCGGATCCCGTACTTCGTTAGGTAACTATTTTCGCAATTATTGGTGCGATAACATTAAAAACTATTTCTGTTTTTTTTTTTGTTATACCGTCCATTCCAGGAGCACTATTGTTTTTGATTTCACACATTATTTTTTTGATTTCTTCTAGCTTCGTTTTTTTTTTGTAGTGGCATGCTTTCACTTTCTTCCTCTTCAGTAAACATACGTCCTTGTGTCTGGTTTATTTTTAAAGCTAAAATTTCTCCTATTATACTTGAAAAATGCCCATTCATTGTAGCTGCAATATCTGTATTATCTGTGAGTATCTCTTCATTTGCATTTGTTATTTTATTCACTTGTTTATTTGTTTTTTTGCTTCTACAACATAAATCATTGAGAATCGCCCATGTTTTTCTTCCATCTCCTTGAACTTCTTGTATTTTCTTCTCCGAATATTGTTTTTGCAGTTTCATCCTCAATTTATTCGGTCATAATGGATGGCCAATCAAAAGAAAGATAATATTCATTAATTACATCGTTATTGGCATTTTTGAAGTCATAGGAAAAATAATTAAGAGGCTTCAGAAATTTAGCTTTCTCAACAAGTATGGAAAACTCCAGACCTAGGTGATAACGATCACAGCCCACCAGACTATCAGATATTACAACTGAAACAAGCTCAAAGTTGGCAAAGCATAAATCCAGGATTGAACCAAGACCGTTAGTCACCCCATTGTATTGTAAAGCCCGCATTACATTTGTGTATTTTTTTGTGTATTTCTACATGTATTTATGCATGTCTAAATTAATGAATTTTTTCACGTGAGCAGCTGTCAAAAGTGTTGAATACACGGCTAATATTTCCGCTTTATATTCGTGTATTTCTTCATGTATAAATACATGTAGAAATACACGAAAAAATACACAGATGTAATGTTGGCTTTAGAGAGGCAGTACCATCGCATAACAATATTTCCTTAGTTGACCTTACATTTCGAGGTGATATACCAGAGAGATCCTCACTTGTGGAACACGTTATTTGAGAAAGATTATAATCTCCAAGAACAAGCACATTATCAGACATTTCACAGGCACTCGCAACTGATTTCAAGTAGTGGTTTTCATAATATGAAACATCCATGGTAGGTGAAATGTAGACACAGCCAATACAGAAAACCAAGTGACCCAGCGTCACGGACACCCATGTTTCCTTCATCGATGCTTCACCAATTGACTGACGATGCCAGGTTTCCGTAAGTGCAATCACTGAGAAATACTCGGCGCGAGCAGCAAAGAAAAAATCTTTGAATTTAGTTTTTAGGCCTCTCACCTTACATTTTGGTACAGAAAGGTAGCACAATCTAATGAGACTGGTCCCCTCTTTCTCCCCTCTGAAAATTTGCTGTGGAGGGTTTTGCCCCCATACGACGAGGATGAAACTCCTTGACAGCAATGCCTATAGGCCAGCAGATGTTTGGATCTAGCAGACCCTTCAAAAGTGATTCTTTAACCCCAATTTTAAATGAAACCACTGAAAAGGGAGAGCTGATCATTCAAATAGTCAGAGATCGGTTTTTCTGTGGTACTCGGATCGCATCGACTCAGATATAGCCACTGAAGCCTCTCACCTGAAGAGAAAAGACCTCTGTCGGCACCCGTACCGATTAAAACAGGATTGTTATTTGAGCGCTCCGATACTCTTACTGGATTAGGCCCTGATTGGCGCTCTATGCTGCGGACTGGTCGCTGGGACTTTTGCTTACCAGTTAGTTGCACACTATTGGATGATTGAAAGCTACTTGATTTATTCTTAATGGGAACTGTCTGTAGAGTAGGTTGGAATCGAGATGGGGTTGGCATAGGACCTGAAGAGTTTAATAGAGTAATAGAGTTTTTATGGAATTCAGGTTTGCAGCAAGTAGCTGGAGCTCATTTTCAAGCTTGAGTATCCTAGTCTGTAAATCTTTGTTACTTTGTTCCAGTTCCTTTATCTTCATAATATCATAAACAGCAGATGCTGCTGAGTTGGGCATGACAAGGCTGGCATTATTTGTTCCGAAAGATTATCCCCTGCAGCAGATTTCCAGAATAACAGACAACTTAATATCCACTTATACTTTAATATACTATATATTTGAAGGAAAATCTCCATGCACGCATCCTAAACCAAAACTTCAAATGACAATAAATTAATAATAAAGCTTCACTTGCATAACTTTTTCCTAATATATCTAACTAAATCTAAATAGGGCTTCCTAAAGCTGTGAGCATGAACGCAAATGAGGCAAGACGAGTTTTAAACCTAACTAAATCGACTTTTGAGATCACAAAATATAAAATGAGGAAAAATATCACACTTTATCTAAAGAAGAAGCTTTTCTTGTTTTACTGCTTCGCCTACATGTCCTTTCTTTTTCTGATGTTTGTTTAGACTGCTTTTGTCGTGGTACCTATTATTACACACAGGACATGCATATGGAGTTTCACCTGTATGCATTCTTAAATGAATCTGAAAATGAAGATAGATCTATGTGAAAAAAGAAATCAAGAAGATTCTGCGATTTGTGTTAGTTATTGCCAGGTTTTTTACTTACTCTCCAGGTTCCTCTATAATTAAAGCATTTCCCGCAAAAATGACACGAAAACGGTTTTTCTCCTGTATGCGTCCTTTTGTGTACCTCATAGTGAGCTTTAAGCGAAAAAGGTTTATTACAAGTTTCACATTTGAATCGTTGTGGAGTGGTTCCAAGATGGTTCATCTCATGGGTTTTTAAAGCTGCTTTTGTTTTGAAAAACTTGTGACAGTATGCACAAGCAAATGGACGTTCACCTAAGAAATAAAGTTTATTGAACTTGCAAAATTTAAATGACTCATATTTGAATGAAAGTAGATTTCAAAATTTTCATAAAGCAATTTCCAACCTTCAGAGTCAAAAATTGATAATATGCTGAAACTGGTCTCCTCTTGAATTCAATTTTTATCTTTAGCAAATGAAATATCTGTCCTTTAGTAAGCCAAAAAGAGTAACTTCACAATCGTGTGTTACTCGGCGCAACAACAAACCATACTGCTCTGAAATCCAGGAAATACCTAGAGTCTATTCTTTGACCAAAAACAGTTGTATTTTTTTACAAGCATTTACTAATTTCAGAACCGTCTGATTCTTAACTACCTGTATGTCCTCTTATATGTCCATCAAGTTGTACTTTAGTCCTGAAACTTTTCGCACAGTAATTACAAAGAAAATTCTTTTCCTTTGGACCATTGTCCTCTCTTTTGGGTCGCTTCTTGTAATGAATTTTAACACCTTGGTGAATGAGTTTGTGGTTGGCAAAACCGGATCTACTAGCGAATACTTTGGGACACAATTCGCATTTCAGGTGCAGTCTGGTAACAAACAATTTATGCTAAATTTGAAGTAATAATTCATTATTTGTATGAAATTAGTATCATAAATGCCAAAGTATTAGCGACAGATGAAAAATACAGACCTCACTCTATTTTCCATATATCCAGGTTTAAGTTCTACTTCTCCTAAAGCTAATCGATGTCTATATACATGTTTAAAATGAGCTGGATATAATTGGAAACCTTTGCCGCAGTATGTGCAAATGTAAGGCGTTTCGCCTGTGTGGATATTCATGTGTTCATTGCGTCTTCGTATTGTTGAAAATTCTAAAAATCGTAATGTTAAAAATCCTTTTTTGTACTAGGTAGGTACCAATACTAACCCTTTTCACAAATTTCACATTTAAATAGTTTAAAACTTTTAGGTCGACAGTTTACATTTTCCTTATAATGTGAACACAACTTTGTTTTACTAGTAAATGTTTCTCCACATGCTTTACAAGCAGGTACAGTGCTGTTTGAATTTAATGTTTCTTCTTCATCCTCTTCACTTTCAGATGATTTTTTTAATTTTCTTCGTCTTCTCCTAATTGTTGTTTTTACAATCTTCTTTGATTCTAATGAATTTTTTTTTCTGCGACCTCTTTTCTTTTTAAGAGGCTTTTCATCTTCCTCAGAGTCTATTTTAGAATTTTTGATAACCAATTTAGTCATGTGACAAAATAAACAAAATAAATAAAAACAAAATTACCTGATTCCTTTTTTGGTTTCAAAAGATCTGCAGGATCTTCATATGAACTATCATTTTCTTCATTTAGAAAATTATCATGGCTGTCCTCCTCTGAATCTAAACCATAGTCTACTTTCTTGAAATTTTGCAAATCATTGTCCAATATTCGTAATTTGGCTTGTTGCTCTTCTGTTTCTAATATAATTCTCAAAATTGTATTATTTGCCTTACACTTGTCTGCAAATCGTCTAATTTCTTGAAGATAACTGGAACATGTTATACAGACATTTTTTGGGAGGGGATCTGTAGTAGAAATCTGAAAAACAAAATATACTTCATAGTTTGGGTTGGTTTTTAACTTGGGTTTTAATAGGCCTATTCGGGTTTGGAAAAAGTACGGTTCTAGAACGGTCCAGAAGAATCGCACAGTTTATTATTGAAATTTGTGATAGTTGAGTCGTTGTTATTTTGTTGATCAATAAACTGGACGATTGTTTTGAACCGTTCTAGAACCGTCCTTTTTCCAAACCCGAATAGGCCTAATGTTACATTTCTAAATTCCAAAAACACTACTAAATGAAGTGGACCTAGCCTTTGTATGACAAGAGACACACAAAAGACATTTGTGATTTTAAATGTACAGGCTTTCGTTGCTGCCCCCTTGTGTTCTAGCCTTTGTATGACGGGACTTGTTTTGGTGCAATGTTTCGTACCTGTATTATTTTGCTCGTAATTTTGATTCAAAAATAAGTCTCGGACTACCTTGGATAGATTTTGATTTTTGCTTCAATTTTTTTGTTTGTTTTTTAGTCTTTCACTCATGATCAACTCATGAGAAATAATAGTGCTGCCTCTTAAGGGCCCTATACACTACGATGAAACAAGACGGTTTTTATCGCCATGATGAAACATGTCGTTCCAAAACCAAAGTGTGTGGTAGAAAAACACGACGGTTTCTTACCACACACTTCGGTTTTGGAACAACGTGTTTCATCGTGGCGATGAAAACCGTCATGTCTCATCGTAGTGTATGGGGCCCTTTAATTGTATAGGCTGGTTCATGCATGAAAATATTTTCCGTTTCTGTAACTTAGTCACTATCTAGATCCGTAAGTAATGTATAAGTTGCATGTATTATATACAGGTGTTCATGCACATTACTTTTACTTTTCCGTATCAATTTCTTTATTCTCTATTGAAGATAGTTAACTTTTATCTTTTACGGATAAAGTTACGGATAAAATCGACGGTGTCTGCGCAGTAGATGAAAGCATACAAATTTCTCGACTTAATCTCAAAAAGAGGAAATTGTTAAAAGTAAACAACAAATATTTACGTCTTGAAATACGTGTCTGGAATTGGAAATAATATTTATAACACCCTGATAAAACCAAATATTATGTCAATTGACATAGGAAATCTTATTGAAACCGTTCGCAGTTTCCCATACACGTACAATGTCATTATTAAAGACTAATAAAAACTTTTAACTTTTGGTGCATGAAATACCCGAGGAAATACCTTAAATTTTACGGAAAAAGAAAAACTTATGCATAAGGGAAAAGTTAAAAAACTGAAAAAGAATATATGCATGAACCAGCCATATTTCATCATATTGTTTTATGGGAAGAGCAAGGAAAAAATGCAAAAGATTTGTATTGTATCAGAAGCCATTTATGACTTTGACGAGTAAGTACCTACTTTCCCAACTTCCTTGATCTACTCTTAAACTGCTTTTTCTCACATCCACTTCTGGTATGGGTATGAGGGATACAGGAAGTTACAAATTCGCTAGTAAGTAATGGGGATTTCGGTAACCATAAAAGATACAGTGTCGGTTAAATTAGGGCAAAGTAACGCAATTTCTTGCTGACCAAAATGCCGTTCCGAAATTTGGAAAATTCCGAGTAGAGTCCCTGTACTAGTACTAAGTACCTACATACTTACATCTATGGAACTGATGGCTGTGAAAATTTCTGAAAGATTGCCATCGACTAGGGGTTTCAAGTCGCCCGAAATTAGACATATTCTGCATACATTCGGAAAATCTCTAGAAGACAGTTTTAGGTCGTTTTCCATTATGTCTGTTTTGGGAGCATTTATTTCATTTGCAATAATTTTCTATTATTTATTATTTATTTATGATAAACACAGTCAAACAAAATCCCATCATGACAGGGGTTATGTTTTGACTTTTGGCTTTGACATTTGTTGAGTACGAGTGGGTTCCGTTTCCAAACCTGGTTAACCGGTCGATACAACGTCGGTTGACAGTGTTTGTTGTTCGGTTTCATACGAAACGCTTTTCCTTTCCTATCGCAGAATCGCGTCTGACAGGTGTGAAGTGTTCTATTTAGAAGCTTCGCACTCTGCACTCTGCATTTCGTATTTTACCACACATCTTACAGGTGACAGTAAAAAGAGACAGAGGATAAAAACTCGCGCAAAAGTTAAAAATAACTTTTTTAGGCGACTGTCACAAAAATAACTATTTTGCGATACCTATCGTAAAAAGTTGTTGCCATTTCCCCGCTGCGTTTTCGCGTTTGTCACGTGATTTTCCGCTGCATGTGAAGTAGGGCTTGAGTCATCAGCGGTTTAAACAGCCTACTACTACTACAGGATGGCCTATCCTCATAAGGTCTGTGGTGCACTTAGAAATGGAGTGTGAAGGGAGAGTAGTTGTTTGATAGAGTGTCCTGACGTCATCACTTGTAGTGCACTCTGGGCGCGCTATTTCTGTACGTATTGGGGCGTTGCGGTGAATGTCAATATCATGAATCACGTCAAACCTGGTAAAAACCGCGGGGCGTTTTCCAACCCAGTCCCTCAGTGGGGTAATTTGGGCGCACTCTGGGGACGTCAACTCTCGATTTCTGAACGATTCCAGCGTAACGCTCCGAGTAAACACTTGTTAAATTATGATCGGTTTAGGTCACTCTCATACCCAGAGTGCTATTTCTAAACGCAACCCTGTGTGTAACAAATCCTCCCCTCACCCCACACCACAAGTCATAATAATCACCAGTTGTGACGTAGGCAGCATGTTATATCTCGCCTTGACGTAGGCTGTTCAAACAGCTGGCGACTTTAGGGGGTTTTCAAGCGATTAACCAGTCGGCAACTTTGACAGATGAGCAACGTATTTTACGTCATTCAAGACCAATGAACTAATATATGGTCTAAATGAGGCCGATAAGCACTCCTTAAAGTGTGTATTCTTCTTGTGAACAGCCTACGTCAAGGTGAGAAATAACATGATGCCTACGTCACAACTGGTGATTTGGCTTGGGTTGGGGGGGGGGGGGGGGGGGGAGGAGGGATTTGTTCCACATAGGCCTTTATGAGGATAGGCTATCGTTGCCGGAGTGTTATATTTTATTTTTAACCATATATGTAATGTTCTGTTGACATTACAGACTTTTTAAAAATTTGAAAATGTCACTTTACTGTCTTTTCATTTCCCTGCTCCACTTCCCGTCCTCATTTTCCATCCTCACTTCCCGTCCTCATTTCATTATATGTATTTAAAGTGACCATCCGTCCCGATTTAGGCGAGACAGTCCCGATTTCGAGCTACGAGTCCCGATTTAATAAGCGTCCCGCTTTTGTGCCGCTTTCAATGAATTCCAACTATCAACTTTTCATTTATTTTAAAACGCTAATTGTTTATAATATACAGGGTGATTGATGGTCGATGGTAGGTTAAACGTTTATGGAAACCGGAATTTTGGATATTTTTGAAAATTTGCATGCCTTAAGTAATTGCTCCTGATCTATCATTCTAAAATAATTTCAACGATGCGACGTTGCCGCTTATACCAAAAAGTAATATGAACTTTGAAATTTTAAATGAGACACCCTGTATATTATTGCATTTTTCGCTCCGCTATTACTTTCTGATCATTTTTGTATAATACTGTCCTATACCTATCTATAGTGATTTTCGACTTATTAATTAATTTCTTTATTTTTTCTTCAAAACATAGCTCTAGTTAAAGGACCCCGCACAAAAAGATAGGAAAAGTGGTCCCGGTCAAATCGTCTGAAATTTTGATATGATATACTTCTCGTTATCCTGATCAAAAGCTTTCATGGACGCAAAAAAATTTATCGAGGGGTTTTCGAGTTATAGCGCCTCGAAGACGTCATTTTGGATATAGATGTCAACGTTGAAAATTGTATATTAAATATTATCTCGTTTACATAATTTGGTCAAATAGACAAATAGTATTAAAAATAGAGTAAATACCTAAACTTCAAAAGATCAGAAATACTTAAATAGTGTGAGTAAATATGTTACAAAATGATACAATAAAGGTGCTGTTTGTTTGTCATTAGTCCGGGTGTTCATCTGTTGTTTCTCCATACCTATAACATTAAAAAATCTGACGCGTTTTTTTCAAGTTATAGCGTGTTGTGTTTTTTTTTTATTTGGTCAAGTATTATTGAAAGAGCAGGGAACGAAAAAAAAAGTTTTATTTAGGTAAGCCGCGGGTAAGCGGCTACCTAATTGAGTGAAAAGCTCATAGTTTCTCCCATATACAGGAATTACTGTGAAAGCAAAAAATATAGTATTAAATAAATCTATAAATATATAAAAATAAATTCTATATTTTTGTTTTTGATAACGAAAGATCTATATACACACTATACTTTTAATCTATTTTATGTCCGATTGACCAATAAACACACAACCTGCCAAGGTGAAACAGGTATACCTACGCGAAATTTACTTTTTTCATTAAAATTTTTTAATTTTTAACAGAAACCAGTCGCAATCGTACATAAAATCATGTATATAACGCTTACATAAACAGGCTTTATTGACTCATTATTTAATAGCCTCGCTCGCAAGCTCGCTCGGCCATAAAATTATTCGTACAATAAAGCCTTACTTTATGTACTTGTTATATAAATAGCTATTATGCCAATACCAACAATTCAAGATTTAAAGCATTAAAAATACACATAGTTTGCTAAAAATTAGAATAAGCATAGGTATGAAAATAATGAAAAAAAGCTAGGTGGACTTTAGTTTCAATTGATAAGCACGTACTTTATTTGGGGCTCTGTTTCCAGCATCTGATACACGATGTAGTAACTCGGTTGCTGGATTATGGATATTTGGTTGGTGTCGAGGGTAACCAAAATACCAATATACCAATAATAATTGTTGTTGTGAGCCCAAGTGCCCAGTGTTCTGGATCCTGACTTGCAAGCTGCAAGCAAGTATAATAATGACCTCTTAGCCTCTTACATTATCAAAATCGTATTCAATGAAAATCTAGTGCCTAACTGCATTTCTGAAGCGCGAAAACACTCTCTACCTGATCAGATTGGGGTAATTCAGTAACAGGTCTATTTGCTCCTCTGCGCATAGTGTCCTGGATATGAGACGGCGCAAGATTTATTTGATAGACACCTACAGTTAAATCCCTCAGATATTTTAGATCAAAATGTGAAAACTCTAAGACATGATTTTCGTGTAAGCGCCTCCACTGCGCATTTCTAACCCGCAGGTTTTCTTGTTCGATTCTATAACTTGCAAATTATTTTCGGTAAGCGAACTTTGCCGTATTTGTTGGGCCAGCTCAAATGTAGCTTCTTCCATTATTACTGGCTTCTACCTAATGATATATTTATTCTGGACCGAGGTTACCGAGGTGCCATGCCCTTGTTGGAAAGGCTGGGAATTGAATGTAGGATGCCAACTCAACTAAGGGCGCACGAACATCAATTGTCGACAGAAGAAGCTAACCTATCATGACTAATAACTAAAACTCGATGGATTATTGAAGCAAAAAACGAACATTTTAAATATGTGGGCGATCTTTACAGAATTTGTGGGGCCCTGTTTAATAAATACCGGTATCCCGTACTAATAGAAGGACTAACAGTTGAGATGGCCCAACAAATACGGCAAACATCGCTTAGCGAAAATAATTTGCAAGTTATAGAATCGAAGAAGAAAACCTGCGGGCTAGAAATGCGCAGTGGACGCGCTTACACCTGAATTATGCTCTCTAGACTTTCTACATTTGGATCTAGAATAGAGGGACTGAACTGTAGGTGTCTATCAGATAAATATTGCGCCGTCTTACACCCAGGACACTGTGCACAGAGAAACAAATAATGAATTGCAAATAGACCTGTTACTGAATTACCCCAATCTGATCAGAATAAAGGTGTTTTCGCGCTTCAGAAACGCAGTTAGCAGAGCTGGGCAAGCTACTTGGAAAAAGTAGCTACCTACAAGGTACTTTACATTGTAAGTAGCTAAGTTACTCAGTAGCTCAACTACCTCTTTGAAAAAGTAGCTAAGCTATTAGTAACTTAACTACATTTTGAATCAGTGAAAGCTACTTTTATCAATGTACATGCCTTACCTAATTTAATTTCATAATATCATCATACGAAAATAACATATTAACTTTCTCTAAGAAGTAGTATTCATATTTTTGTCAAAAACCACTGGACATTAATTTATTAGGTTCACTTTGATCACAGTAATCTGCGAATGCGAGACTAAAATAGGACACATAAAACATAGGTACCTACAGAGATAACTAGAAACTAGTCTAAGCAAGGCAGGATAAGAATTTTCCGGAAAATGATAATTGTAGCTTGAGCAATTAAAGTATAAAGTTACTTTTATCGAGCGGTAAATTCAATCCGGACTAATGACAAACAGCACCTTTATTGTATCATTTTCTAACATATTTACTCATACTATTTAGGCATTTCTGATCTTTTAAAGTTTATTTACTCTATTTTTTATAGTATATTAGACCAAATTATGTAGGTAAACAAGATAATATTCAATATACAATTTTAAACTTTGACATCTTTTATATCCAAAATGACGTCTTTGAGGACCTATAACTCGGAAACCCCTCGATAGATTTTTTTGCGTCCATGACAGCTTTTAATCAGGATAACGAGAAGTATATCATATCAAAATTTCAGACGATTTGACCGGGACCACTTTTCCTATCTTTTTGTGCGGGGTCCTTTGTATTACTATTGTTCGTCGATTTTTAACTGACACGTTCCCTATGAGAAGCGAGGGGGTGTTTCATATGGCAAAAACAGGTGTGATGTCAGGTAACCATTGGCGTTCTAATGTAGGGAGCCACCAGCTCACATTCCGTCCGAGTATCAGATTA